CAACAGCTTACTATAATGGTTCAAGTTGTGTTACATATACATCTATTGGTTTTTCATGTACAACATCATCTCAATGCGTAACAAATGCTTATTGTTCATCAGGAATATGTACTTGTTTAAGTTCATATTATTTTGATACAACGACAGGTAATTGCGTTGCTCTATTAACATTTGGACAAGCATGTATATCATCAATTCAATGTCCAACCAATATGATATGTACTACATCTCTATGCTTATGTACATCTACGACTTATTATGTGGCTCCTAATTGTGTATCTCGTATATCATATGGTGGTACATGTAGTGCAACAGTTCTTTGTGATACAACTCTTGGTCTTGTATGTACTTCATCCGTATGTACATGTAATAGTACACAATATTGGTCAACATTATCCAATGGTACGCAAATATGTGCTAATTTACGTACACTTGGACAATCATGTACAACTTCAACAGACTGTATAAATTCAGCAACATCAGTTAAATGTGTATCAAATATATGTGAATGTGATTCAAGTGGATATTATCTTGATCAATCAACAGTGACATGCCAACCACTCAAAGCTCTTGGTGTAGCATGTACGGCGACGTATAATTTTGAATGTGCTAGTTTTAATTGTAATGCGTCAAATGTATGTGGTAATACAATATCATCGACTATAACAAGTAATGTTTCACAATCATCGTCAGGAATTTCTTTTAGACGATCTCATACTATCATGCACTTATTGATGAATATTATTCAATTTTCTTCTATAAGTTTTAATTACCACTTTGTATTTTGTCTTTTAATTTAAAAATATATATACATGTAAGTGTGATGAAACAATGATTTGGTTTTCAAGAATAAAGTTTATAACAATAACTCAAAACAATTCAAAAAAAAAAGAAACACGATTGTTTCTTGCATTGTTACAGCTAATTTTTTTTTGTTTTTTTTTATTTCGTATTTATGCATACATATTCATTGATCTTGCCACTTTCTCATTATTGAACATAGTTAGAATATTGTAAGTTCCATTCAACATGAATCGTTGATGATTATTGTTATTAATGAAATTTAGTTAACAATTGTAAAGAAATACCATTCTATCTACATGTTCTATTGATTATCTTTTCGGATAAAGTTACTGTACAACTCAGAGTTACAACAATGTTCTTTAAATATTTTGTTCAAATCAAATAGTAAAAGTGAAAAAAGAAAATTGTATCTTACTTGGTACTAAATCCAACTGATGTTGAAAATAGCATTCAATACATAACAATATAGACATAAACTAAAGCATATACTAGTACATAAAACTAGAATCGTCTGGATTATGTCAACAACTTGAAAAAACGATCAACAAAATATCTTGAAAATAGTTTAATTAACTTAATTTTGCAATACGATTTTATTTGCTAGGTCAAGTTGACTGTAACAATAGTTTAAAATCGTTCACCAATCTTTTCAACTCTTGCATCGATTACCTTAAACTTCATATAAAGCTTTATATTATATAAATTTCACGTTATTTAACTAGAAACCATAACGAGATTTGCATATTGTAAACAGATGACAAAATACATTACGTACACCAAGGGGGAAAAAGCGTGAGTTAAATCAGCTGAAACTCATTTGAAATCACAAAAATCAAGTAAACTCATTTTAAATCACGAAAATCATTTTAACTCATTTGAAATCACGAAACTCACATTAACTCATTTTAAATCACAAAAATCACTTTAAGTCAATTGTAACTCACTATAAATCGAAAAATAGGAAGCCGTATGTTTATGATTTAAAATGAGTTTCTGTGAGTTTTATGATTTAAAATGAGTTTATGCGAGTTTTGTGATTTAAAGTGAGTTTAAAGCTGATTTAAATCGACTTTAAACTCATTTTAAATCACAAAAACTCATTTTAACTCAGAAAACTCACATAAACTCATTTTATATCATATAACTCAGATAAACTCATTTTCAATCATAAAACTCAAGTAAACTCATTTTAAATCACAAAACTCACATAAACTCATTTTAAATCACAAACTCACAATTTGCTTTTTCCCCCTTGTTTTAACTACATCAAAAACAGAACTTTTTTGTTTTCTTTCAAGTTTTTTTGAGAGTTATGCATTTAAAAAAAATTAATTTTGATGAAAGTTTTAAAGAACAATCTAAGAAACATTGCATTTCGTCTTCAATTTGTTTAATATTATAATAGATGATATTAAACACACAAGGAAAATTTTTCGTATGTGTCTGCGTGTATTTATTTATAAATATTCAATCATGTTTGATGTAGCAAATGTTTTATGCCAATTACTATGAATTTTAGAATTTTTTTTGTATTCTTTCATTCGTTCAGACACATAGAAATAAAAGAAAGTGAAACTGAATGCGAATCGCCAACTTTTCTTTTCTTTTCTTTTTGTGCAAGTAAAAATTGACGATGTCGTAGCTACGAGAGAAATTCATTAAACACGCGCGTACATTTACAGTTACTTAGGTTTTAATTTTTTCAACACGTTGTACTCCCATAATTTGATTCTGTTTTGCACTTCTTTTTTTTATCTCCTTTCTATTTCATATTTCCAAAAAGCTTGCTCGTAGATTTTATTTTATTTATGAGTGTATGTTTGTATTGTCTTAGTGGTGCCCTGTACAACAAATTTCAAAGAAATCATATGATAATGGCTATGGTTTGTTGACAGTACATGTTTATAATTGAGTAATCATAGTGGAAAGTAGGAGACAAGTTTTTTTTTTTTCTCTTTAGTAATTATATTTCATTTTTATATTTAAAACTTGCTTTTTCATGTAGCCGCATTCTTGCTATATACCTATTATTATCAAAATATTACCTTCGAAAATTTATTCCAGTTTTTTCAAAAGAAGTAAAGGAAAATACGAGAGAAACAAAAATTTATTTCAATCTTAATTAATGTATCGATAGAATCTATATTTGAACAAATCTATTGTAGATTAGATGTCAGGAAAAGTGTAGATTTTAGACATATTTTTACTTTTTATTTAGAAGAATTACGATAGATTTAAATCAGAATATTATATTTTTAATGATTGATTATTTGTTTCGAGTTGTATGCCCACCATTTTCAAACTACTGAATCAATTTCAGCTTAAGGATCTTATAAAAACAATGTTATTTCATCGTATATTTTTTGTCACGCTAACCCATTTTTCTTTCTTTTTTTTTGTCTCTTTTGAAAAGTAATCAATGTTATTTTTCATTGTTATTAAAAGAAAGAGTGACAGACATTGCTAGGTATTACATTCAGTCCTTCTTGTCATAGATGTATCTCTTGTGATATTTTAGTTACTCAAAATTTAATCAATTTGAAAAATTTTTTCTTATTTCTATACTTCTTCTAAATTATTTTACATGTTCATGAGCAAAGAATCTAACTGAAAAGCAGCCAAACTTAGAAAAATTTAAGGCAATTTTTTATTATGCTATCGGCATTAAGACATAAGACTTTTCTTTGAAGAACTGAATGAAAAAGTATTAGTAGTAATATACGATAGTCAGAGAAAAATTTGACATTATGAACAAGACAAGAAATAGCACATAAATACAGAATCTATATTTATTATTATTAAAGTAAGATTGTCCACATAAGGAATAGCAAAAACAAATAGTTAACACTTTTATGAATTAAATATTATTAAATAGTGTAAAGAAACATCTCAAACTATTAATATCAATTTATAGTTTGATAATTACAAATCATCAATAATAGACAATGGTTCTTTTCCAACTCATTTTAAAAAAACTGACGTCTTGGATATGTTTTTGGTCGGATGAATTGATAAAAATTCATTTATACTGTCGATCTCAAAACTGTTTCAAAAAACTCTTCATTTATTCATTTGAGTTACCATATGCTATAGATTTTTCTTACATGTGCCAGCTACGACTTTTTTTTTTGTTAATTTACTAGATGAGTTACGCTGAAGAATTACAATTCATTATCAAAAAAAGTTAATTATGTTCCATAAAATTGTACTTCACAACAATGTGAAACAATAAAAAAAAGTGAAAATTCTAAATAAATTACCTAAAAATGATAGTTTCAATCGTCACATCTTGTTATTTATTTTAAGCTAAAAACTCAATATGAACATAATTGAATTTCAATTTTAAGAAAAATTTGAGATATAGTAACGCGCGATCCATAAATAATGGGCCTCTCAGTGTGTTGCATATATTTTGATAGTATTAAAAGATAAAGATGCATCTTTCACTTCTTTACAAGCTTACACATTTCAATTAATTCAATTAGGATTCGTTACTTTGGAATTAACAACGAAACATTTTCGAAATTATTGAAAGTTTTGACAAACCTAAACGAAATCATAATGGCCATTTCATATATGAATAGCAATATCATACATTTCCGTGTATTAACAATAATATTTATTCAGAGACATAAAGTTAACTTTGAAACTTTTAACATGTTTTATTAGTGATATGTTTTTATTTTTTCTTGATTCGAACTAATTGAGAGACAGGAACCATACTAGTTATTTCTTGAAAATACTTTATTTTCAAAAGTGGTCTTAATGTCATTAATCCTTTGTTTTCTTTTCATTTTTATTCTATAGAAAATATATGTCTAAATAATTATTCATTTTTATTTTATTTTGAGAAACTCTATTATTTGACAAAGCTGCTCATTCAGATAGTGACCTCTTAATAATGATTTTTCAAATTCGTATTTATAGTAGAAAAGAATATTTCTAATGATTGAAAATGCTTGTTTGGTAACTTATTTTTATTTTTAACATAGAATTGATGCATTTAATAGATAATGAAACTTAACCGATCGTTTAACTACTATCAATCAAAACACTGAAAATAATAGATTAGCAAATTTATTCAAATCGATACAATATTCGATGTTGAGTTTTCCAGTGTAAAATGTCTTGTATATTCAAAGCAACACCATTTTAATTATTTTTGTCTACGTTGAAATCTTTGAAGTAATTTAATCATGGTACCAAAAATCGTTCGAGTTTCTATGCTTTTAGTGGGAGCTGTTCTTATTTTTATTACTGGTGTTCTTATTGGTTCAACTTTGTTCGGAACAAAAAAAGAAATATATGTTATATACGGTTCGCTATCAACAACTAGAAAATTAAACCAAAATTTACAAACGATCGACAAAGAAGATTTTAAATCGTTTTCTTTTGCATATAATAAAACTCATCTTTGGTCCATGCGCCTTGCTGATGACCAACATTATCGTATAGCTCGTCTTTTGCCATGCCGCACTGTTGAATATACCAACGGCCCGAACCGTGAAAAAATGAATTCTTGTGATCAATCAATTATAAATGAATTCTCAGTAGAAGCAACACTACATGCACAACAATGGCTTTATGAATATCAGCATCCAGTCGATTGTACCAATAAAAAATTTGCTAGAATACATTCGTTTGCTGGGTCTGGTTTTGGTTCAACTATACACCAAATTGTATGGGCATTCGGTAGAGCATTAGCTGAAGATAGAATTGCCATTTATGAAACACCAGGAAATTGGGTAAGACAATATCAAATTCGATTAAATTTGATTTGAAATCGATTAAATTATATCTTGTTTCTGAAAGAAAAGGATTTTGTGACATAATAAGAATATATATTTCAGTAAAAATGATTCTAACATCATTGAAACTATTCACCTATCGATTATTACTCCGTTTCGTTTTGTTACAGTTGGATGTACGGAAATCATCGTCTTAGTCTATCAAAGATAAAGAGATGAGAATTATACACGACAGATGATCACTCTTTCACTTGAATTCGTGATTTGATAACTGTAAGGTCTATATTAGTTGAATAATAATAATAATAGAGTACAAGCAATTGATTATGTACACCAGAGTATGATCTAATCCTTTTAAATTTGATTGTTTTTTTTTCAATAACTACTAATGTCCACTTAGTAGTTGATAGTAATTTTCTTCTAATACTTATTCATCATATAAACATAAGAATGAACTATACAATGCAATCGATGGTAATCTTGTTATTAACTTGTAATCAATAGTTTTCACTTCAATAACTAATATCAACTTTTTCATATAATAAGTTTTACACTTTAGTTACATGGTAATTGTAATTTGGGCACACCTGATTGTGTCTTTCGTCCAATTAGTAACTGTTCTATTCCTTCTACAGTTGATAATAACCGAACAATTCGTATTCAAGCTAATAATGATCATTGGTTCGATCCTATACATCCACCTGTTTTTCAAAATCGATCTTTCAATTGGTATCGTTCACAATTGTTATTCTATTTAATGCGATATAATCCTGAAACATTAACTCATGTACAACGCACATTAGCAAAATATTTTAATCCATCTTCAGTTGATCTACATCGTCCATATATTGCTGTTTATGTACGTCGATCGGATAAAGTAAGTGGTCGAGAAATGTCACAATCTTATCCTCTTCAACAATATTTTGATTTATTCGATGCTGATGCTCGTCAAGCTAAAATAAAAAATGTTTATATTAATTCAGAAGATCGAAACATATTTACTGAATTTGATGAAATAAACAAAAATAAAAAAGGATATTACAAATTATTAAGTATTAATGTTACAAGAGATGTTACTTTTCCGACATTAATCAGTATGCCAGTGGAACAGCGCACTAAAATTATATTAGAATTTCTGACTGATCTTTATATTGAAGCTAATGCCGATCTACATGTTGGAACACTTACATCAAATTGGTGTCGATTGGTTGATGAAATGAGATTTGTACTAGGTAAAACGATAACATACTATACACCTGAAAATAGATATATAATAGATGTATAATGACAAAGATAAAAATTTTATTTTTACTACTCAAAGATATTTTTCATTCAGATGATGAATTGTTTGATATTTTAATTAACTTTGTAAAATTTTCATTGACAACTTTTAAATTCTGTACTGTCAGCAGTGAATATGTTTGATTTTAAACACAATAAAGTCTAATATATATGAAATATATAATATAAAAGGACTGATATAAAATTCAATTTTCCTTCATATTATTGTATTGAAGATAGAGAGTAAATAAAGAAACATTCTGACATTCTATCAATTGGTACTCTTATTCTGATTATAATAAAGTTAAGGATATCACAAAATACAAAGAGGTAACAAGATTTATATGTACTTTAGCACTCACCGAAGAATTCAACACTTATTTACTAAAATAGAAATATAATATACAATTAAATGAATAGAAGTATACATTAAAGAGAATTCTATAAAATCGATTCGTACCTAACATCTGTCTATTGATTCGGTTTTAGGATTGTCAGATAGGATTTTAATTTTATTTTCTGTAACGTATTCTACTAACTTCTATGTTTTATTCATATGTGATCCAAAACAAACAAGTATTGTCAGCTGATGTATATTGTATACTTATACAATAAAAAAAACAAGGTGTTCCAGGATTTTTTAAGCAATTTTAAAATCTGTTGTTCTTCAATACAGTATAAAGAAGTAACCTTTTGAAACTTGAATAAAGTTTCATTTCAACATATTTATAAATAATTTTAAAACCTTAAACATCTAGCTTCAATTGCACTACATTAATGAACTATAATAATATCAATATGAATTTACTTGAAATTTAAGAAAATATTTATTAGTATCATACAATGTAAAGGTGACGAAATAATTGTGTATTTATTTGTTTTATGATAGATATAATTTTCAATGACCATTAATAAAGTTTTCATTTTTATACACTGCGATTGAAAGACGAAATGAAATTCAATAATTTTTTCATTCCATTTCCAGTTTCGTGTATGACTGTCATAAAGAAATTAAAATTCGTATTTCTCTTATTGCTTTGACACTAACAATAAAGTTGATAAATATTTTTGTAATTTTTTCTCAAACACAAAGTAATATTGTGCTAGTTTTTAACCTTAGCTTGAATAGTGTCACGTTTGCATCTTACAATACTCTTGTATATTGTTACAACGTTCTACGTTAGTTTTAAAAGATTTACACACATCGGTCAGAATAATACCAAGTTTTGAAACATTTATCGAGTTAGTGGAACTTTTTTATAATATACTGATTTTTACGTTTCACATATTTATCCATTCAAAAGTTCAGTTTTTATCTAACAATTGTATTCAAAGAAAATAACTTATTTAACATAAATAAACGAATTAGATTGTCACATTCGAAATAAGCCTTGTCCAGCAGAATTCTATTTCGTTACATCGAGTCGTACTTGCATTGGAAAAATTCAACTGGATTAAGGCTTCAATCTTACAAATGAAATAAAGTATTCGTATATTCTAAGATTCGCTTATAAAATTTAACTATGAATATTTATTCGAAACATTGAGACAGAAAACAGCCATCCAAATATATTATAACAATAGTTAAGCAAACAGATTTGTTTTTTCCTATAGAGATAGAAATACACTGCATCATGTATAAGTCATATCAATGCGTATATTTTGTTTCTTGTTTATTAGAGTTAAATAAAAAAATCAAAATAAATTGTGTATATATCGATTATGATAAACAAAGGCTGTATTTCTGCACAACATATTAAGACGAACAAAATATTTCGAAGTTCACTTGCAAAGAATATGATGATAGTGGAGATCGAATTCTAAAATTCTAAACGAACTCGACAGCATGCAAATCATAAAGGAACGGCACAAATATTGAGCAAGTGAAGCTTCTATAGACCAGTGAATATCTATTGATATTTTAATGATATATTGATAATTTATCGGGTATTTAAAACATTGAAGTGATAAAAGGTTTTTGTGTAGCTCACATCTATGTTTGAAGAAAATAATAAATGTAGATTTTACTCCCTCTTCCCGCCATTATAGATTTCAGCAATGGAGAACAACCAGCGTCAGATTATTCTCCTAGAGTTTCTTAGATGACTTAGACTGTTCTAGAGAACTCCAGAAAATTCCAGAGCCTTCGTCGAAATTTGATTGGGTAGAATACGTTTGTGAATGTTTTAAACAGTACAGTTTTTGATTTTTGCATAGACAAAATTATATATTCAAGATGTCACCAATGATGGATAATGATACATTGATTTGTCACAGCTGTCATATAATCAATATAAAAAGTGTAAATTGATCAAGTTACAAGTTGAAAAATAATCATTATCAGTATTAATGAGTTAATTGAGATATATAATAGTACATTAAGACCAGCTGCTGTAGATATAATGGATATTTACAATGACCTTGCTTGCCATTTAATGTAATTCTCATAACAATAAAATTGTTAAATTAAGAGATACAAAAACGAAAAATAACTAGCATATAGCAGTAAGACAACCAGAAACTTGAGCACCCTTAAAAAATAAGAGAAAAAATTTCTGTTCAAAATGCAGAAATAAATGAGATAGATCTTTTCCTTTGGTGATCGACTCCTTTTTAAAACCACTATAGTCTATGAGAGATCTTTCACTGTTCATATTTTGTATTAGTATAATGAGGCTAAAGAACATATACGAGTTCTACATTTCAATCCTAAAGGGTTATGCTAACAAACTTTTTCAAAGTGGTTCTAGTTCAAGATTTAACAATCGTTTAGAAAGAGATCAGTGAGGCATTTATTTTCTTCAAATATGTAGAGATACGTTCACAATTTTTTTTTATATTTCACAACGTGTTAAGAAAAAAACGAAAATTCATTGCATAAAGAATTTAACTTGCATCAACCATAAAATATATATCATGAATAATTAGACTTGTAATATTGCCAACAGTGGCGAAACCAGAGAGAGGATTGGGGGGACCAATCCCCCCCTGGAAGATCTAAATTACTGGAGGGGGGTACAGATATATTCGTTTTCACAAGCAAAAAATCACTTTTTCTCTATGATGGTCCCCCCCCCCCCCCCGGAAAAAATTCCTGGTTGCGCCACTGATTGCCAATATGAACATATTAAACATATAATAAAAATGAAAAAAAAATCATAAATATAATACAAGAACATAATATATAAATATGTAAGCTCAATATTCATTATCTAATGGTAATTGCAATTCGACCTGTCTTTTTCGACCTCGTGAATAGTTTGAAGAGACATAATTGTTCTTGACTGGAGCTTTAACAGTTCCATTTGAAGGTGTTATTATTTTTGATAAAATTTCTGATGAGATGATAGCATCTTTAAAATGATCTTCAGTTTGTTTACTTGCCCATCGCTCACGTTGATCAATATAACGTTCATGATCAATCTTATTTTGAATTTTTTTTGGTATATCTGGTACAAGCCATTCCATTATATAAATAATAAAAAAGATAACATGTTCAAAAACAATAATAAATGCAAGACGAGCAGCTAACACATTCCAATAGATTGATGTGTGAGAATAATTTGATTCATTTGATTCACGAAAATCACGATAACTAAATAAAATAAAAAAATAATAAGGGCTCTAAAATAAATACAAAAACAGAATAAAGTTTTTTCTTTTTTTTTCTTACCGACAAATAGTTAAATTATTTGATCCACCCTCTGGCATCGTATTAGTACGATTATAATCAGCAATGTTAAACGACGATAGTGTCCAATTAACATAACCATTCAGACTTCCTCCTGTTGATTGTATTGAACGATATGCCATTTTTGGAATGAACTCCGATGTCCAAGCAATAACAACTGCCTAAATTAATTGATATTTATATACTTTTGTGTATTTAACAACGAATACTTACATTCGTCAGAACAGCAACGTATGATATAGCAGAAATAATATCACTCCAGATACCAATATCGGATGCTTTAAATGGAATAGGTCGTTTATATTTAGATAAAAATTTCCATGCATCCAAACGTATCTCAATTACATTATTTAATAAAGCAAATAATGGTGCAAGTCTAAAATTTATTTTCAAAACATTAAAAATAAAGATTTTATTAAATCAATTCAACATACGGAAAAGCAGTGGCAAATAATGTAACGAATCCAAATTGAATAACTATATGAAAATCATAAAAACTTATGTTTATATATCTCTATACAAATAAATATAAAAATGAATAAGTTTACCTAATTCCAAATATTCATCAATAAGCGTATTTGAATTAAAATCATATAGTTGATTATCTTTTTCCCATTGTTTTTGTGGCTCAGGTTCACCACGTTTAAAACATATTCGTGTTAACGTACTACGCATTGCATTAAAGAATTCTAACAAATTATTTATCATTTGTTTCCCAATCATAACTAAAGTCATAGAAAAATTATTATGATTTATATCGATTTAACTTCTTACTGATGAAAAATTGTATAGAAAGTTCGACTAAACAACCTGCTGGATCGCACTAAATCACAAAAGAATATTGAAATTATTTTTCTGTATTTCTTATTGTTATTTATTTTAAAACAAATAACTAATTAAGTACAACGGATAAGAGTAAGTGAATCATTATACATTAGACAAGCAAAAACTTCAAACCTGTTCAGTAAAATTTCCCGAATCTGATTCACCATATGTTGATGGATAGTTATGAAATCTGAATCGAATTTATAATTCATGTATTTTTTTTTAATTTAATTTACTTACCGTCCTTTAAAAAAAGCAATATAAAATAATGATGAATAAAAATTGACAAATTGAAAAAGATATATTTTAATCGTCAATGAATCATCATATGCCGATTGATATTTATGAAGTTCTGTAAAACAAAATATTTATTCAATAAAAAAAAACAACCAGAAAAGGTTATTACCAAAATCAGTTAATTTTCGTGCAATCCAATAATAAAATTGTGATAAGATAATAGAACAAATAAGATTCATAATAGCACTAGT